GATGTCCATGAATTATTTATTTCAAATAGATTTTCTAATAAATTTTTTGCTACATCCTTTGGTAACTCTGTAGGATGGTCATTGCTGGATGATGATGTATCTCCCTCCGGATCGATTTCTCTCATTGAGATATTGCCACTGCGTTGGCTCAAATGCTAAAAAAAGTTAAAAAATCCAATACTAAAAATGGTCTAATATATATAATATCTCTTAATACCAAACTAAGACCAGTCTTAAGACCAAAAAATACATAAATACTAATCAATTTACTTTCCAAATAATCAAAAAACATCAAAATAGATAAAATCAAAAAGTGGTCCAATGGTCCAAGGATGAATATCAATTTCTAGAGAAAACTATGCTCCCTATATATAATTTTTGCCAGAATTTCCTAAGACCTTTGGACCAATCCAAGAATTATAGCAGGAAAGCATTATTTCCATAGCTAGAAGGCTAAATCAGATACTAAGCTGGTCCAAAGACCCCTTTCAGACCGGTTAGATCAATTTGGACCAATTTTCTCTATACTTTATGTATAAAAAACGAATTTTGTTAGATCAATTTGGACCAATTTTCTCTATACTTTATGTGTAAAAAAACGAATTGAATTAACCCATGTTATACATATTACATAAAAAAATATCCCATGCAAAAATCAAATTGAATTAATCTGCATAATAGGTATTACATAAAAAAATTTATCCAAATAATTAACCAAAGAATTAAACAAATCCAGGTACAAAGTATTATTATCAAAAATGAGTAGTATATTAGGTACACCTGAAATCCTAGAAAATATATTCAGCTATTTACCTACTACATCCTTAGTAAGATTAACCTATGTTAACAAATTATGGAGACTAGAGGCCAGGTATAAACTTTATCAAAACCGCACTGAAGTGGTTTTTAAATACATTTAGAATTTATGGAGAAATGCATTCGGATTTAAGATTTCAATGCACCCAATCCTTAATCAAAGTTACAAAATTCTGGCTTGCCTTTAATATCAATCTTAGAACAGAATTATTCATTATAAGAAATCAATTGAAAGTCCAATATAAAGCTATAAAAGCAAAATGCGCTGTTGCAGAAAAGAATTATTTAGAAGCCAATGAGTTATTTTATGCAGATCCAGGAAATATAGATAAATATGCACTTGCTCAAAGGTTGGAGTTCAAGCATGCAAAGCTGGATGATTATAAATCCTATGTTCATAGGGATTTAATTAACTTTGAATATTTCCTAGTGAGGTATAATTATATTGTAAATCCAGATGAAATTAACCGCATTTATGATAAATGCATATTTTAATTAAAATAATTGAATTATAACCAGATACTAAGATTTTTGATTATTTATAATCTTCTTAGCAAGTTGCAATGCTTTTTTTCGTTCTTTAGCTTTTTCCTTTTTTTCTCTGGCAATAGCTTCTTCAGCAGGAGTCTTTAATTTAATCGATCCATCCTTAGATACAAAGGTATGTTTATTGGTACCACAAACAACACATTTACCAATCAACCGATTTTGTCCATTTCCTGTAGTTTCCAATTTCTCAGATGCTGAATTTGTTTTAGCTTGGCACTTTACACAATATGTATGAACCATCTTTTTTGAACTTATGATACATACATTCAAATAGGATTTCAAAATGTCAACACCAGTAGATCGTTATTATAAATACTATTCATTATCTGGGGTACCATCTAAACTGCTAAAAAATGAAGAACATTTCAATCTCCACATTACACCTAAAAAAGAAAAAAAATCGGAACAACCAAAAGTAATTGTCTGGAAGGCCAATGCAGTATAGGATTCAGATTTACTTGAATTACTGGTATTCCCATATAGTTGTTGATGTTTCAACTCGGGATTTGGATGGAAATCCGCTCAAAAGTAAAGATGCTGAAACAGTTCTAGATTCATTCAAAAGGATCTATCAACGAGGTCATGTAAAATTTCCTACTTTCAGATTAAATACCGATACTGGAAAGGAATTTGATAATTCTTTAGTCTGAAATTATTTCAGAAAAGAGGTTAAGGTGCTAATGAAATTTGGATTTCCTGGAAAACATAGACAGCAATGCTTTGTTGAAAAAACTAATCAAGAAATCCAGAGGCCTATATTGAATCGAATGACCGCACAAGAAATGAAAACCAGTATAACTTCTGTGGAATGGTCTGAAGATTATCCTATTCTAATAGAAGCTCTTAGAGAGAAATGGAAACGAAATCCTCCTCCTATTCCAGAAGGCCTTCCTAGAATTACTGATAAAGATGAATTGCTACAAGAAGGAACACGAGTCAGAGTAATGTTGTTTGAGCCTAAATCAGTACTTGGTAAAAAATTACATGGTAAATTCCGCACAGGTGATATTAGGTGGGATCCAGAAATTCGAGTAATAAAAAACTTATGCTAAGCCCAGAACAACCTCCAACATACCTTGTAAATGGTCCTCATGGAAGATTAGCTGTATCTCATTGTGCATATACTAGAAAGCAACTCCAAGTAGTTCCAGATAATGAAAACCCGCCTCCAGATTCAGTAATTTGTGGAAAACAAGATAAATTTATTCCTGAAAAAATTCTTAAGCAAAGAACTTATAAAGGTAAAAAACAATACCTTGTTAAATGGTGCCGATATCCTGAAAATGAATCAACTTGGGAACCAGCAAATAGATTCAAAGAAGATGCACCCCATCTTGTAAATGAATTTCTGGAAGTTAGCAGGGCGTAAAAAAATAATTGTATTCTAAATATTCTTTTTTTCTGAAATACTTGACTAATTATATAATGCTTCCAATACTGGCAAGTTTACTTTTTTGTATTCATTTTTTGATGGAATTATAGGGATAAAGAAGTCCTTTCCATTACAAGTAATAGCCATATGCTTTCTAGATTCAAGTAAATCATAGTTATATTCTCTAAGACGAGGTCGGTTCAAAATAAGCTCATGATATGGATAATTTGCAATTACAGCAAAATCATCTGTTATAGTACATCCTGGTGCCAAAGTTATTTTGACATTTTTAACTGTACCTAACGATTTAATGTTAGTTGATGCTCCAGAAAGTTTGCAAATTTTATTTGTATCAAGTATTAATCCAAGTTCTTTATAAATCTCTTCAGGCATAACAGACTTATTGCAACATGAATCTATAAGAATTGGGAGTTTTAATTTTCCCTCTACTACACCTTCAACTGATGCTAAATCTTTTTTATTATCTAGGCACAAAAGATCAATATCCATAGAATCATCAGAATAAGCTTCACTAAACTTCTGAATTTCTTTGCTTGTAGTTTTCTTAGTTAATCCCAAACGAGTTAATTCCTCTATAATTAATTCATGAATAATTTTTCTCAAACTCGCAGTATCAATTGATGACCCCTTAATTTGCATTTCTTTTTTACCACCTTTGGCCTTAGTAGGATTTTCAGTTATTTTTTTTTTCGAACTAATTGGAGAGTATATTCATCATCATTAGTTGCAATTTCCCGAACTAAATTAGTATCCATAGCATCAGGATCATTAATATTAAGATTATTAAATAGACCAGCAATTCCAGCAATTTCCTTATCAAGTTTTTGTTGTTCAATTCGTTCAGCAATTCTATTTGCTATTCTCTCATTATGTTTTTTATCTTTGTTTTCATATTGTTGCATAACTCTTAATCTAGCTTCAGCCTTATCATAGGAATTTAATCCTTTTTTATCTCTATAAGTATCTGGAAGGCCAGCAGGAAGAAAATTATTGGAATCATAGGGTTCATAGGGTTCATCTAAATCATCATTAAGATTATGATCATTTAAGAATTTATTCCATTTCTGAATAGAAACATTTGTTTGGACTTGTTTCTCAGAATTATCTAATATTGTCATTCCTTTTGCTGGAGCCTTTATAACTGTTGGAATTTTTGCTTGTAATTCCTGAATTTGAGTTTGAAAATTTTGCGTAATTTTTTCAGTAATACTCTTGATCATTCTATCCACATCTTCTGGTGAAAACCCTGAACTTGGTTTATGTACTTGGCTTTTATAGTCAGTATCTCCTGTTCTCTTGGATAAGCCTATTTTCATTTCAGATTTGCGTTTTTCAACTTTTTCTAAATTTTTAACTAACTCACTTACAGTTTTTTCAGCACCAATTCATTCCACTTCAAGTTGATTGTCTGGAGATAGCCCCCTAAAGAATTGATGATTAACTACTTCATCACCAAAATTCAGTAGTTTGCCATATTTTTTAACTTTTTCATAGAAAGTTTTAACCAGATCATTACCTTGATCAAGAGTACCAAATTGCACTTTGCGTCTTTCTTCTAATACTGAAGGATAGAAGTTTTCAAAGTAGTAAATAGCTTGACCAAGCTGAATTCCATTTAATATTATAGGAACAGCACCACTAGCACCAGTAAATCTAGGCGCATCATCTGTAGGTGCTCCACCAGAATTAGTCCAATCTTCTGCAAAAGCTTTTCTTGGGACCATTCTAGCCTCTACTGCCCCTACTGTAATTGCATTATTTCCAGGATGATTTGCAAAGGCATGTGCTGAAGAATGTGGTCTAAAACTATTAGAAGTATTCATCTGCACCATAGTTCTAGCTTGAAGATTTGCTGTAGTATTTACAGTAGTATTGTCATATATATTAGTTAACATCCAATTTTTTTCTGAGTATTTCTTCATCATACCAATCACCAGCAGGTCCAGACAAAGCACTTCGGAATAGACCTGTAGCTTGAACTCTTTGTGTGTTTTCTCTTACATTAATATTAATACTATCTAGAAACCCATGAAATCTCCTGACAAAAGTAGTTATATCCTCATCCATACCGCCTGAAAAATTAGGTATTGCTACTGAAACTCCAGCCATGTTGATTTTAATATGAATATCAAGGCTTCAATTTGAAAAGCCTACGAGCCAAATAACATCAGGATTTCTGGCTCTTTGTTTCCATTTTACATATTTTTGTTGGAATATTTGTAATTGCCCAACAGGGTTTTTGGCTCTTTGTTTCCATTTTATGTGTTTTTGTTGGAACATTTGTAATCGTCCATTATGGTAGTTATAGGCCTGGACAAGTGGATTGTGGATATTATTAATAAATTGATCCCGAGCATTAACAAATTGAATATGAGTATTATTAAGCTGAGCATGAGCGACATTAAGCTGAAGAAAATCCTGATGAAGTTGATTAAGATCATTCTGGGCCTGTGCAAGCTGATTATTCACCTGATTGAATGCCTGAAGATTTTGCTGTAATTGGGCCTGAAGTGGCGCTAATTGATCATCATTCCATTTAGCAATATCTCGGAGCCTATGTGTAAATGTAGTAATTTCATTAAGCTTATTTACTGCAGTCCTCTGGTTTAGAGTAGAATTATCCGGCCTTTGTATGAACTCATCAAGACTTCTGCATGCAGAATTAATTCTATCAGTACTTACATCAATCTCATTTGGACTAGGTGGCTGTATTTGGCATTGAGAAGACATTTTTGGCTTCTTATTAAGTGTTGAAATTTTATCTTCTAATGCTATAAATTGTTCTTCTCTAAAAACGATAAATTTTTCTTTAGACTCTATATCCTGTAAAGCCTTCCGGAGTTGAATTGATAGATTTTTATTATCCTTTTTCAAAGATTCAATTTGTGCTTCATGTTGTATTAGGGATTTACCCAAATAATGAATTTCTAAGTTGCTATGCTCAAGATCTCGCACTAATGATTTAATTCTAGTTTCATTATTTAGATATGATCTCATCATCCTCAGCCAACTGTTTGCGCAATTCTCTATTAGTCCAAGCAATTTCAGCTGTTGGGCAATTTGAAGTACTAAACCTTCGATTCATGATCCAATTAAAGATATAAATCTATAACTCTAATAGCAACTATGGAATATTTTGTGTACAACATTGATGAATACCAACCTTTGAAACAGGGAAATGAATTTGCACCAATATCGCCATTTCGAATGGTTGTATCTGGAAGTTCTGATTCAGGCAAAACCACTATGATCCTGAATCTTATAATGGGTACTAAAAAGGTAGATAAAGAAAATGGTTCTCGATATATTTTATGCAATGATATAATTTTAATTGCCAAATTTCCTGATGAGCCAAAATGGAATATTGTTAGAGATTTTTTTTAATGATCTTGCAAAAACTGAGGATGTATCATTTAAGGCATTATCTCCTTCTGAAATTCCAGATATCGATACATTTAATCCTGAAAGATCTACTGTTGTAATATTTGAAGATCTTATGCACGAATCTAAAAAAATACAGGAACAAATTGCTAAATATTTTACTCATGGACGCCATAGGAATATATCCCCAATATATGTAGCACAAAGATTCTTTGCCATTTACAAAACAATTCGGGATAATGCTACTTATATCTCACTTCATAGAGGAGGAGGATCCATATCTGATCTCAAAAATATTATAAGTCAATATACAGAGCACTCAGATCATCTAGGATCAATCATAGATGATCTAACATCAAAACGAGAATTTATTGTGTTTGATCTTAGACGGTCCAAGAATGATCCACTATCAATCAGAGTTCGATGGGATAAACCATTAGAAGTCCCAGATGGATTGAAAACTCAAATTTCTGATTCTTCATCAATTAATATTATAGATGAGTTATCCCAGAGTAAATTTAGCATTGCAGGTAAAGAAGCAATAACACAAGCTAAAAAAGAAAATTGCATTGTAGAGTTTGCTGGAAATTTTCCTTTACCACCTGAACGTAAAAAATTATTGGCTAATAATGTAATTGCTAAAAATAGCAATATGTGGGCCAGATTAGTATATTGAGAAGCTTTTGGGGTAAAAAATAAAGAACTTGGTGCTGGATGGCACGATTTTGCTCAAAAAATCAAAGAGAGAGTAAAGCTATTACAGAATAATGAAATTTCTATACCTCAAGTTGATAAATCCCGTCCAGATAAAAATTCATATTTTCTTCATTATAAAGATCTTTTGGATTCAAGGCCATTGGATGAAAAAAGATATATAGAGGGATGTAAAATACTTACCTGGCTTCTTTCAAATGGCCATATAGATCAGAAAATACATCATGTTGGGATCAAAGAATTGAATGATTCCCAATAATTAAAAGATTAAATTTCTGAAGGCTCAAATTCCGTTTTTTTGGAATATTTCTGATAATTCATCTTTTGATGCACGAACTATCACTAAAGATCTCCACTTGCCATTATGCTTTTCTCTTGTTATTAATGTTTTTAAACCTAAAGCTGTAAATGCTCTTGAAACTTGATTTTTACTGAGAGGATTATCTACACTATCCGCATAACTATTATAGAAGTTTGTAAAAGTTTCGTTTATTTCAAAGTATTCATTTTCAGAAACTTATAAAATTGTATTTCTTTACTGGAACTAGACGAATTGTTGATAAGCTCTAATAACCATAATTTGATATATTCAATATCATATGATCGATTATGATTTTCTATCATTTTTTCAAAAGCTTTTGATATAATTTTTTTTGGAGTTCTCCGATGTTTCCAACCTCTTTATATACTACTACTACACATTCTGGAAAATACTATTCATATTACGTTTTTATATTGCGTGTATGTGGAAATCATAATAATAGGTGTAAAAATGCGCGTATGGGCAATCATAATAAAAATGATTAATTTTCTATGGACGATCATACAAAAAAAAATTTATCGTTATCCCTCGTTATAGCGGACCCTCGTTGTAACTGATTTTAGACGTTATTACTAATACTAATCGGATTTTATATGCGGAGCCAAAATGTTTAAAAGTTCGTTATAGCACGTATTTAATTGATTACATTTCGTTATAACAAGGTTTGACTACAAATTGAATATACATTGCGCATAAATATACATAAAATGATTAATATAATAAAAAGATTAAAAAATCTCGAACTACTTGATGAAGCTATTGCCGACGAAGATGGCTCCTGGGGCAGTACACCGGAAGGATGGGAAATACATCTTGAAATATTAATAGCAGGTGGCGCAATCGAAGAGGACCTTTCATTGTATGATATAATTTACTACTCATGCCCATATGTTAAACTCGATGGTTCTATTTGCAATAATAATTGTAGACGAATAGAGGGATGTTATGAACATTGGAATAGAAAAAATAAAGGGCCTGGTAACCCATGTAAAATCGAATCGTGTAACAAATTTACCCGTAGTTCAACCGGACGTTGCCATACACATAGATAATAATTAATAACGGCGCAGTAATGTAAAAATTTCTAACATTCGTACCACGTAACTTGATTAGCGTTTTTAACATGGCATTTGCTTTCTTTTTCAAATTTGAGCGTTTTTAAAATTTTTGAAGCATTTTCTAGACAATTAATAGATGGTGGCTTTGTAGGATCTTCTTCTAGAATAAATCCATCTGTATGAACCCGTCTTACTTTATCTTTATAAGGCTTAATTTGACTAGATATTATTTTTCGTCCCTGTGCTAGAATAAATGGAGCAATTCGGGGATACTCACCTTTAAATAAATTTCCGGGGTTTGAAAATTGTAAAGTCCAATGTTTATCTCCTACTGGAATTATACTATCTAAAATTTCTCCTTCCGGGTTTTTGAATAAATCTACCATGCCTTCACTAACATCATAGTAAGATTTATTTCTTTGGCACAATGCTCCCCATAAAGTATTTAGAACTCTTTTTGATACTTGTCCAATAATTCCCCTTTATTTTTTAGTTTGAAAAGGAAATTTACATATTCTCCAAATATAATTTTTCCCGGAATTCTTGTTTCCTTTTCATATACTAACGAATTTGGAAAATTATCCTGAATTAATTTAACTTGAAGTCCCAATGTTCTGGCATAGGATAAATCAGTATGAGTATATTTGTTACATTTATTATATCTGAATAATACTTTCATATCTTTTTTATATTCAACTTCTGCCCAATATATTCCATATATGGCATAATCACCATTTTCATGTTTTTTAACGAAATCTTTAAGTATTTGGAATTTTCCTTTACTAATTGGAAATGTAATTGCTGATTGCATAATACTGGGATATAAGCTAGTTTCATCATACTGCCGGCCATATCCTTTCCAATCATTTTGAGCCCAAATAATTCCACCCACCATTGCGTTAGAAATCCATATTGCTTCCATAGGATCTAATGCTTCATTGGCTCGAATTGCCTGGCTAAGTCTTTCAAGTAACCATAATGCAACTTTCTTATAACTGCCATGACACATGAATAAATCAATTGATAAGCCAATTTTTTTAGATTCTTCTAGCAAAATATTTCATTCCTCATGTATTCTTGTATAAGCTTCATCCAATGATTCATAAATTCCGGAATTTTTATCTTTGACAACTGGAATATAACAATTTTTCCCAAAACGAGATTTTGATTGTAACTTTTGCCATTCTATAGTAGTAACAGTGCATACATCTTTTCCATTAAAAATTTTTACAGTATTATTTATTCCATCCATTTTATATATTAAAGGTTCCTTTGGCTTAGAAGTAGTAGTATTAATTTTGAATTGATCTGGATTTGGTGTAATGGAATAATGCCCATCAGCAAGTGTAAGAGTAATTTGTCAATGAGCGGTATTTTTGGAAATTCGGGTAAAATCTCCAACTATATTAATTGCAATAGTTTTAGCTAATTTTTCTACTTTTTCAATAAGTTCTACTGGAACTGCTTCATTCCTTTGTAAGCCCAAAGCTTGCTTAAGAATTTCTGGCTTTTTGATAATTTTTGGAAGGTTTGAAAATGTTCCATAAGCATGATATAAACATTGATAAAGACAATCATTTAGACCGCTGTCTTTTTTGGCATTACAACCACCTGATAATGCTGGAGGATCCATCATGTAAATAATAAATCGATTATAAGATCCAGGATCTCCTCCACCTTCTGGCAATTGGGACTCATCATAATGATCTAGCAATGAAAATAATGATATATCTTCTCCATCCTCAAACCATGAGCCGGGTTTCCACTGCTCATAAGGAAGAAGAACTTGAAATTTTTTATTTGGAATTCTAGTCCTAAGTTTTTCTATTTCATGATTGATTCTTTTTCTGGAAAAACTTCTACCGGTATAATTGATTTCAGTGATATGTTGCCGAGTTGGCAATCTTTGATAGTTTATATTAATTGTATTGATTGGCATTTTATTTATTGTATATAATTATTCAATATGAAAATTTATAGAATATATAAAAAAAAATATATATCCACAAAATGTATACAAAGCAAATACCAGCATAGTACATTGGCTTAATTATTATGGAATTTATCTAGTTCCTTATAATCAATATATTCATTTTCTGAGAATTCCTCTTCCTCCTCAGCTAATGTACATTCTTTTTCATTAATGGTTTCTGGTTCTGTATTCCTATTATCCTGGCAATTTTCATCATATTCAGCACATAAGAGGTCCAAGCATTCATCAATAGAAAATTCTTCAATCGGGTTTTCTAGTTTTTGGGTTTCATTATTTTTTGTAATCTTTAGATGTTCAGGTTTTGGTGGAACTTTTGGCGACATCTTTTTAAACACTGGTACAGATGATTTACTACATTCAGCTGGCGATTCTAAAGACACTTCTGGTTTTTTATTTTTAAGAATTGGTTCATCAAATTCCAAACCAGATGATTCATATACTTCTTCTTCATCAAATTCTGAACCAGATGATTCATAGACTTCATCAGCATCATCATCATTTTCTAGTTTGGGAATTGAATTAGTAGAATTAGTAGAAGGGCTTTGAAGGGGCAAGTCTAAAGGCGCTTCTTCTGATGGGAATTTTTCAGGGGATTTCAATGATAATTCTATACTCTCTGTATGTTGGTATCCCTCCGGTTCATTAATATTTTCGGCTTCATCAATCATATTCTTTTTCTGGAATATGGTATAAATATCATTATATGAAGCTGAATACCATTGCATTTTTTTATTGGTTTTTTGATCTCCTACTCTTTTTGACTTAGTTTTTATCCCTAACTCTCCAATTGCACGAGTAAATTCCTGTACAATAGGCGGTCTTTTTTTGATGCCAAACATTTCCCGAAACCAGTTTTTATATGTATTATAAAGGTATGTAGAAGCTAAATCAAGATCTAAAGACTTGCATAAATATTCCTGCTTTATAAACTCATGGATTGGGTTAATATCCCTGCTTGTCATCATTAGCTTAGTTTTACTCATAGGGATTTTGCATTCATTAAAATCTGGATTAAGTTTTACATATTCTAGTGCATAAGAGTAGAATGCTTTTCCAACTTCTGGATTTTTTATAGCTTTATCCAGTGGGGCATAATAATGATCCATTCCAATTCCATTTTCAACATACTTTTCAGAGATATCCGGAATAAAATATCTTCGGTCATTTTTATCAAGACGAATTGTTTTACTATTATTACTGTTAATAATTAAATTTGTAATATTAGTAACCGAATATGGAGTCTTATGCTTTTCTTCTATCCTCAAAGAATCACTATCAATAAAGTCTTTGAGCCAATTTGCAAAAGTAATCCAATCAGTGGATTTTGAGTTAGACATTTCTTCAAGAACCAATAAAACCCTACCTTCTAATTCTTTGTTAAATTGTCCTGTAATAATTTTTTCATTGGTGGTTTTCATAGTAATCTTTGAGCCAAGGACCATTTCCCGAAGGAACCATGTAAGCATTGTTTTACCTGTTCCCGGACCAGAATAAAGGAACATTGATTTTTGCATTTTCTGGCCAATTGCTATCCTTAGAATTAATCCCATCATATAGAGTTCTTGCTTTTTATCTGATGAACAAAGTACTTCTCTCATATGGTTAAGAATTAAATTTACCTGATTACGAATTTCTTTGCTAAATTGATGGAATGGAGGTGGGTTGGAATGAAGAAATCCCGGAAAATTATTAATAATATATTCTTCAGATATTGGATGTTGATAAGTTAGTGGTTTAGTTGGATCAACATTAATAATGAAGATAGGCGTTTCCCTAAAGAACCAGTTTTGTATATTAAACTTTTCTACCCAATTGCCATGTTCAAATTCTGCTGTTTCATTCTGGATAAAAGACTCACATGCATCCTTTTTATTAAAATGCTTGAAGGTCTTAAGAGCAGGAACCCATTTGTAAACACCGGTTTCTCCACATGCAAAGTATCCTAATAAATAGGTTAAAGCTGGTTGGAGTTCTTTGCGAGATTTGGCTTTATAAAAAAGATCTCTAAATTTATTTTGATTAAATTCTTTGGAAGGTGTACCTAATATACTACTCATTTTTTGATAATAATACTTTGTACCTGGATTTGTTTAATTCTTTGGTTAATTATTCAGATAAATTTTTTTATGTAATACCTATTATGCAGATTAATTCAATTTGATTTTTGCACGGGATATTTTTTTATGTAATATGTATAACATGGGTTAATTCAATTTGTTTTTTTACACATAAAGTATAGAGAAAATTGGTCCAAATTGATCTAACAATTCGTTTTTTATACATAAAGTATAGAGAAAATTGGTCCAAACTGGAAACCCAATTCGTTTTTTTACACATAAAGTATAGAGAAAATTGGTCCAAATTGATCTAACCGGTCTGAAAGGGGTCTTTGGACCAGCTTAGTATCTGA